TGCAGCTTCTAGCTACCCAGTGCCAGTGCAGCTCCCCATCAGCTAAAAGCTGTGCTTGCACCCTAGCTGAGGACCAGGGAGCTGGGGGAAATGACGGCAGCACAGGCACAGCTCCCAGCTGCCTGGCCCCAGCGCGGATGTAAGCAGAGGCCCCTACCAACGACATACTGCAGAAGCCACCCAGCCTGCACTGGACCGGAGCTGGGTTGTTCTGGGTCATGGCTTGAAAAGGTTGCCAGAGCTGCCCATATTCTCCAGTTACCTTAGGAGTACCCACTCAGATTTTCCTGCTTCCAGAGACGTGCCCCTGGGATCTCTAGAGTGCTTCTTTAGAAGCAGAGAACCTTGACTTTCCCTGCTTCCAGGGATGCACCCCAGAAATTGCCAGGGGTGCATCTCTGAAAGTAGGAAACATGTCCCCACATTGTTCCAGAAGATCAACATGTGGGACAATAGGCGACATGTGTTTCACCCAGTGAAGCAGATTAGTTGGGCCAGGGTACATCCCCACACAGCTGATCTGCTTCATTTGGCAATGTCTATTTCTAACCTGATTCTTTGATACGTGCTAACAGATTTAAACTACTTGCTCATAGAGGACAAATTTAAAGCCTATAGCCCACTTCATTCTACTAAACAGGGCTTCATTAGAAGGTCAGTGGCAAATAGATTTTCTGTTTGAATGTAGACAAATTAACTCTATTAACAGTATGACTCTCTCAAGGATGGATTTGGAATTTTTTAAATAAGAACTCTAGCCTCTTCCACATCCATAAATATATGGTTTATATTCATAAACAACAGAGTTTGAAAAAAAGAAGAAAATCAGACTATCAATTTTTGTAGTTCTCCGTTACAGATCTGAATTTTAGTTTCCAATCCAGTGTCTACATGGTAATGTCATGAAATACTAAGGTTTGTGTGACCTTGAAAATTAATGCTATTTAGTACTGAAACCCCACATTTTTTCACAAGCACTTAGGATGATCATTAACAAAGTTATCCATATTTATTTACCTTATCCAACTCCATTTTGTTGCACTGTAATTAGAGGGAGACACAAAAAGGCAGAGATTTTCAAAGTTGCCTCCTGGGATACCCAATTTGGGCTCTAAAATTAATGTTTAAACAACTAAATCAATGGCTTAATTTTCAAAGTTATGGAACATCTAGGAGCTTACGTTGGCTTCTAAAGGTGCTTCGTGCTTTTGAAAATCAGGACGCATATGTTCCCACCTATGAATTTAGGAGCATATCTTCTGACAGAGGGTTGAGATTTTCAAAAAGAAGTTAAGATTTTTCATATTAATGGGAGACATGAAGCAAATTTCCTTAGTTGACTCTGAAATGTCAATTTTACTGCTTTAAAATGTATTGGTAAAAGGTTATAAAATACCTTTCACAAATCTCTAACACCCTAGAAATCCTGTTTTTCCCTTCCTCCATGAAGAAATATAACTCAGGAAAAATTTTAAAGAAAATAGTTTGAAGAAAGGAAATAATTCCTTAATATGTGAACTAATGCAAAAGTTAGAAAGTAACACTACATCAAGATTCAAAGAACATAATAGGGACAGAAAAGGATTGCCTCTTCATCCCAGTCCATGAGATCTTTCTTTTATCTCAACAATAGCCTGTCACTAGCTGGAGTTGCATGGATGATGGGATAACTGCTTACTTTCTTTTAAACATTAATGGGTCTCTGCATTAGTCTGTGTTCTGAAGGAGCACACAACTGGTTTTCATAGACTGTAAAGACTGCAGTACTATTCCCCCTAATTCATAAGTCAGCAGCATCCATAATGGTGTTTGTTGGCTTGTGGACAACATGGAGAATAAATATTAATGCCTTGGATAGAAGCTGCTACACTGTTGGATGCCTGTGCTTGAGCTTGCTCCAACTCCAGGTGCTTTCCCTTTTCTGGACCCATACAAAGGATGTATTATTTCTGACAGGTTAGGCAATCTGCCATGCTGGTAAATCATATATAGGATCATTTCAGTTTTGGAATGGATTCAGGAAGCTGCCTTTCTTGAATGGCTTGACTCTAGAGGCAGGCTTTTGCCTCAAGCATTTATTCCATGTCTCAAGAAATCTGGCTGGTTCTGGCTCAGCAAGCACCTCTCTGCTCTTGCTTTCAACTCACTGAAGTTATTGTTTCCAATGCCACTGCCATTTTAGCATTTAGCTCCTCATCGTGTTATAGCATTTTGCAATAGATACATATTTTCCTGTGGTGATGCTTGTCATACAATGCAAGTGCTTCACACACAGAAGTAAATGTCTTCACATAACTCTTACAAGGCAGGAAATTACTATTATCTCTGTTTTCCGGGGGGGGGGGGGGGGGGGGGGGG